ATAACAATAAAAATATCAACAATAACAACAACAACAGCAATATTAAAATGAACAATTACAATAATCATTAATGATGATAATAAAAACATTGTTAATAGTAATAATGATAACAGTAGCAAAAATAATAATGATAATGATAACAATGACAATAATAACTAAATAACAATAATACTAGCAGCGCTAAAGTCCTTTTATACGAATATGATACTCGGTTAATAAAAAAAAAAAAAATAAAAACCCTTTCGTACGACAAAATTCCAAATGAAAACTCTAAAATGCAACGGTGTGTGTGCAGCCATTTCCCTCATAAGGAATCAGTGTCACGCGTAAAGGCCTCTTACGAAATAAGATAAGAAACAGTGATAAGATAAGAAAGCAATGATATGAGAACAAGAGTCGAAGCGAGGATTTTGAGAGCAGCCAATTTTGAGTTTGGAAAACAAGGAGGAAAGTTTAATCTTGTGATTGCTTTGGTCACTGATTCCATTTTACGATCTCCTTGGCTCCTGTGTTTATAATGGTAAGTGTAGGAATGGGGAGAATATGATGTATTGTTGATTAGTTTTCTTGTGTAATCAGAGAATGGTTTAGATAATGAGAAAGTCAAGAATTTCTTCTTTTTGCAATGAAATAATTAAAATGCCAAAGTGTTTTATTTGAAGTTATGAAGGATACATACACGAAGTTATAAAAAGAGGTGTCTTTATATTACCTCAAAGATAGATTTACAAGTATGCTGTTGTTGCAATGGAACATGGGGAATCAGAAACTAAGATACTAAATTCAATAAGAATAACCGGTTGTGTATCAATTATAGAATGCGAAGAAAATAAGAAGTAGACACCAAGATTAACTTAGTTTACCTCCGAATATAAATGATTTTAAGTGTGCTAAAAATGTATATTTATGGATGTCAGAATAAGAAATAATTATAGAAATAAAAATAAATAGATGAATAAATACAATATTTGCGAACAGACGATAAGTGTAAGAGAATAACAAATAAAGATTATTTTAATTGAAAACTTTTGAAATACTTAATCTTTCCGAGATGAAGTGCATCGACAACTAAATGCATATAATTACATTTTGTATGAATCTAGGAATTCAATACTGATTGAAAAGCACTTAACACTTGTATAATCTGTTTGCAATGGAATATGAATACATCGCTAATCATGGATATTAATGCTGCATTGAATAATGTAAATAATAGTATATATAACAATAGGAATATCAGGAATGCTGGTGCTACGGTAATGGTCATAGACAATGATGATAAGAATGATAATCATCATTATTACTAATATTATTATTGTTGTTGTTACTGTTACCGTTTTTATTACTTTTGTAAATGATGACGATAATGATAAGATATTTATGATGGTAATAATGATAACGATGATAATGGTGATGTTGATTATGATTATGAAAGTGATACCGTTCTTGACAATGGAAATAATAATATTGTAATAACGATAGTAATGATAATGGTACCCGAGATAATAGGTATAATGATTTCAGCAATGATGATATCTGTTCTAATGATATGCAAAATGGATAATAATAATAATAGCAATGATAATAATAATGATAAACTGAAAATGATAATGACGATAGAGAGAACTACAATGATAATAATAGCAACAACAATGCGAAAACGATAATGATAATGATAATAATCATTATTATCATTATATCAGTAATACTGATAATAATAATAACCCTTAAGATGATAATAAGATCAACACTAATAATAACGATAATGATAATAATAATGAAGAGTAATAAGGATAATAATAAGAACAAAAACAATAATAATAATGAATATAATAATAATGATAATAATTATAATGAATATAATAATAATGATAATGCTACTACTAATAATAATAATCATTATAGCAATAAAACAATCAATTTTCTAAATGATAACAATAATAATAACAATAATGATAATAATAACAATGATAATGATGAGGATGACCATGAAAATCGTAACAGTTATGAAAAGTAAAAGCATCATTTTTGATTCATTGTTTTTTAATCCTATCCCATAATGCATATTTCAATATATACATGCGATTGTCTACAATTATACAAATACATTTATACATACTCCCTTTTTTATTGGTTCTAAATAACAACACGAACATCAACAGCACGCCATAACACTCCTTCCCTTTGCCCAAATACTAATACTAATAACAGTCGTACAACATGAACTTTTTCTTCAATCAAAGTATTTTCGATCTCAAAATCAATTCTTTTCTTTTCCTGCCATCCCTCCACCCTCCCCGGCAGTGACTCAGACCTCCACGGCGTGCAGAGCAGCAGTTGCAACGCCTGCAACAGAGGTAATCCGTCCCGGGGTGGCTGGGCAAGGGAATAGGCCGAGTTTCATACGCGGTCGTCACTCTGCCTGCCAGTGTTCACAAAACAAGAAATGTAATTCATACACATACACACGCAAATATGGACAACTGAATACATATACATA